AATTAACTTTTTAATTACTGGCTTTTCGGTCTATGTTGCAAGTGCAATATTGATGTCAGCCGTCATGCAAAGCTAGTTCAATTTGGATAATTAAAAAATAACTAATGGTTTTCGAGATATTTGTTGACAATTTCCCGCATCGCCCTCTTCCGTTTTTGAAACTGGACACTCAAAGTGCTCCAGAGGAGCTGTCCACGTGACGTTTGTAGGAATTACATTTGCATGACATGAAAATCGTATTGATCTCATATCTGCACTGCGGCTGTCGGACCGCTGTTCTTGACATGAAAACTTGCTGCGTCGGTCTTTTAATGCGTTACTGCACTCGAAACCTCACCCGCGATTGTGAACCCGCAGCAGAGTGGCTTTGCTATACCCCGTTTCTCAATAGCTTGGTGGACGGCGAAAACAATGGCTCAGCGAGCCAATAAGAACGATTGGAATGGTGGCCAGTTCGCTTTGGTGGCCAGTATTTGGTCGCTTTGGTGGCCAGTTATCTGTGTGTTGTGACCTCTCCCCATCTTGTCAACCATGGTGAACAGTCAAAAAGAAAGCTGGCGCCTAGCCAGGCCCTTGAACAACTGTGCTTTGAGGAAGATAGTGTAACAGCAGTTACATCCTAGCAGTGTACTGTCTCGGCGGCACGGAGCAACGCTGCTCTGTGCCACAGAACAAACATTTGACCTTGTTATTTGCCCGCTTACGTCTCCATCCACGCCCAGTTCTTCAAGGGCAAATTGGTCCGTCGACTTCCTGGTATTCCGGAAAGGACTGTAATCCAGAAAGACTCGACAGATGGTTTAAGGTGATCATTTACCTTCAACGCGAGCAAGCCTGCCGTCTTGGAAATTTCGATAAACAAAACTGGCGTGTCACCCGTCAGACCACTTCTTCGGTCTCTTTTCCCACCTAAGGCGTGAATGTTATTCTGATAGACGGATACGGCACCTTGGTGTCATGTGCTCAGCTTTGACACTGTTATTGGCTAATGGGTATTGTAGTCTTCACCGTTTGCCAAGTCAACGTGAACTGGAATAGGGATAGCGTATGCTCACATATATCTGTTGTCATTTGCATGACGATTTTCACGTCATGTAAACGTCACACTTACAAGCGTCACATAGGCAGCCTGTCCGGCGCTCTTTGAGCGTCCAGTTTCGGAAACGGAGGAGGGCGATGCGAGAAATTGTCAACGAATATCTAGAAAAACAGTAATTCTTCTTGAATTGTCCAAATTGATTTAGCTTTCCATGGCAGTCAACATTGATACTGTGTTTATAACATGAATCGAAAAACCAATAATTAAAAATATATTTAACAAATTTGAGTTAATTACTCAAAAGGCCACGACGGTTATCCACCCCTCTAATGTCTGCCGAACTCAAAGAGACACTTAGCAAAGACGGCGTTCAGCTAGAAGTTCACACTTTTTTTTTTTTTAATTCTGTTTACATTAAGAAATAACACCCCGTATAAAAGGGAAACATGTAATGCTCATCAATGAGGCTCCAAGCTGCACCTATATTAGAAGTCAAATGGACACAATATATCTGCCATACCTTGCCAATTTCTTTTTAAGATGCATTTGTAGAAGAAAAGGTTGAAAACATTCTTTGCAGCTATTTTGTTTTTGCTGTCTCATAATTACAGATCTAGAACAGCCTCAATTGTATAACAAATTCATATCATACAAGACTGCATTGCTAGCAACGAAGAACTGGCAAATATTCATATAGAATTACCCAGCTGTTGCACCCGCAACTGCAGGTGTTGCTTCCGCTCCCTCAGGCTGGTTTTCTTTGTTCAAAAGTCTCAGCTTGGAGTACTGGGCCAGGGTGGTCGAACAGTCCATATCAATGTAGTCCTCAAATCTTTCATCATACGCCTGAGTTAAAAAATGTTGGAATGAGATTATGCTCCACAGCTGGTGCAATCATAACACATAAAGCTGCCATGAACAGGCGTACAAACAAATTGACACAAAATCCACATTTCTTGCACACATAACCAATTGTCTCCATGCTGGCAAGGCTGGAAGAAAATGACTAAAACATGCATTTGTCCGATGCAATTATGTCCTTAATTGTGGTCCTCGAGCTCCATCAATGACGAAACTACTCGTCATGCTCAATATTTACTATCGCCAAGACTGACACTGGCAAAGAGTGGCCTACATGTAAACGTATAGTGCAAAATTCACCAAGAGTCAGACGGCGATTCATGAAACCGTTTATAGCATACAAGGACAATTTCGGCATACTTCATTACTAGGTCAAACACGGCAGTTCAGCATGCAAACAGCACAGCAAGGGGGAAATAAAATTTAAATCTGTGAGCCCAGCACAACATGTTTACCTGAAGTATTAGGTTTTCAAGGTTTAGATGGCCGAAGTGCATCGACGTCTCCAGAGCCTCAACAACATCATTCAGCATGTGACAGCCAGAAACAGTGATTGTCTTACACGACTGCCCATGCCTAACCAGGCACGTGATATCCATGAGTTCACGTTAAACTGTAAAACAAATTTCAACATCTGTGTCATTTGTGAAGTATTACAAATCGAGAAAAATGAAGACTTCTGCAGAAAAACATGCTATACATAGCACTTCACCCACACTGGAAATACTTCAGGAAATAATAAGCTACAAATGAAGCGTTTTTTTTATAACAGTGTTGGCCGAGGCAGACTGCACAGCTTGTGTATGTGACAATACATGGGTCGCACTGACGTCAAATTGCATACTTTTGATTACCATGGAAGAGGAGGAGAGGGAAGCTGCTTTTGTAAGGATTTTGAGGGAGGGGTTTATCTTCTATAATCTTCTGGAAGGAGAATAGCGACGTCTGTGCAAATTCAGGAGGCAGAAAAGATGATCCTGATAAGAGGGGAGCTCTGTCTTCCCCTCTTTTCCGGTGGTCATCGGAGCGCTCTTTGAATGATGTGACATGCAACGCATGTATTAGAAGCCCCCCCCCCCCCCCCCCTTTCCTTTTTTTCTTGCTCCCATTTAAGTCACTAATTTTATGTACATTTCTAACTACCACATTTTAGCTGGAGATGCATAACTTAATGTCCAAAATAAACAATATCAGCCAGAGGATGTTAGAAAAATAAAATCTGGCCTTGTACAATGCAGGTTCGACTTATCGCTCTTCTCAAAAACTTGTATTTAAATGCGAGATTTCAAAAATATCCGCTGCACGACTATCTTTTCGGGAAAATAGAAAAATGATGCACGCAAAAATATTTTCGACTGACACTCCCAATGAAAACAAAAAGCTATCACTGTCACAATTTTACATCTTGCATTTATTTTGCCATGTTCCAAGGAACAGAACAGCTAATAGAAACAAAACAAAACCAAAGTGGGGATGGCTAATGAAAAGGATAAATATGTAGTACAAATCTGACTTCAGGCATTCAGATTTTTGACAATATTAATAGGTATTGACCCCTGGTGTCAATACCTGTGTCTTCATGGTTTCCTAAAGGATTGTGTGGCAATTCTCTGGTGCTCCGGAAGACAGGTAATGGAGAATAAAGACACGCTTTTCATCTCCACGGTGAGGCCTGGTGTAAAACGTAAGCGATCAATTCGTCTAACAAGCACGTGACTTCCACTTGTGCAGATGAAAAGTCTGTCTTTATTGAACTTGTAAAGCGCCTAAAAAACAAGGACACGGGGGAAAAGGAGACAGGACCAAGCGCTCTGGTCCTGTCTCTTTATTCTCTTGTCCTCGTTTTTTAGGCGCTTTGCAAGTTAAACATGTACCAACTAGCCCACCTATCCATTTTCCTGACTTTGTTCTCCTTTGGCCCGAAGCCCATACATTTCACCGTCATCTCTAGCGCAAATGGGGGACTATGACGTCAATTTTGTTGCGCATGCTCGCGCACACCTGCGGCTGCTGGCTCGTGGAAAGAACGTGCACCACTTATTATGGACACTAAATTGTTTGGCTTCATAAGCGCTCGAAGCTTGGAACGCGTGCGTGAGCTGGTATCTCGAGGCGAGATCGTTCCGATAAACCAGAGGACGACACATGATACACCGTCGGCGCCTTTGCCCGTGCGTCGTATCGGGTAACGTTATCTGAGCGCCGAAAACGAACTGCCGAAAGTCCACCTTTCACCAGAGGCGCGCGGTTGGATATCGCGGTCGGGAGCTGCGACGCCATTGCGCTTGAGTCAGCCCCGTTCGTAATTGATCACAAGAAACAAAAATGTTTTTAATAGAACATTCTTAGGGGAGAAGCTAGTTATTCGCAGTGGTTTGAACAAGACCGTTTAGCAGACTGTTCTCAAGGCACCACCAACATTGCTCGCTTTCATTGAATTGCGTGTGAATGTGGCTCGCCTTCTCTATCCCCGTTTTCGCAAGACCTGGTTGTTGAAAATGTAAACCGATAGCGTAATCTCCGTTTTGTTTCGCAAGCCCTGCTGCGCCCAGATGGACGCGCCCGCGCTGCTAACAATGACCATGCCGAGCCCACGTGTGTTCGTACGTATCTCACAGGGATGTTCAAAGGAGCGCAGGATGAAGCTGAACGGCGGCGTTGGCTGATCATGCCTTATAAAAAGACATGAACACGTTTAAAGCAATAATAAAACGAGCTTACCCGACACAGTAATTTGATAGGGCTACCAGGACTGACGTGACCCGACACCTTGATCTCACGGTAGCGATGAAAAGAAAGGACGTAAACCGAGAAACCCGGATATGCAGAACTGGTAACTGCGGTAGTGTTGATTACAGTGTACACTCATTTCACGTAAATATTAATTTCAGCCCCCGATTAGGCACACAATTTAAAAATAATAATTTTTTATTTGTAGGAATTCGGCACTGTAACGAAGATGCCCAATTTCACGAGCAACGTTGGGTATCGCTAGTTAATTCGCAGTGTTGCTATTCACGTACGCAAACAGGATCTCGACGCCTTTCTTTTATCGCAGAGGTGCCAATTCAATGCGGTTTTTACTGGACCTTTTAGGAAAATGACGTTTTGGCGCTGCCCGCTGTGTGTGTTCTTCGCGGTGAACCTGATAAGAGTGATAAATCACGTAGCAGAAACGCATAGTGCGGAGTCGAACTTTACGATACTTTGCGGCATCGATGGCTGCTGTCACACATTCAAGGTGTTCAACTCGTATCGCCGCCACGTTTACCGGAGTCACTCCGAGCATCTACAGACGTCCGGGGGTTGCGGGTCTGGTCTCGCTGCCGTCGGAGGAGCGGAACCCCAGAATGAGGTCGACCCCCAGAACGAGGTCGACCCCCACAACGAGGTCAACGCAGAGGACCTATCATTTGACCTTCCTCAAGAGCAAGCAGCGGCTGCTCCCCTTTCACCAACTGAGAGGCCCATCGAAACATTCGACGAGTTTGTTAGAGGTCTGCAAACGAACATCTGCTTGTTTTTTTTTAAACTTGCTGAAAAGCACAAGATGCCACATATGACCTGCGAGAACGTCTTCGGCGACTTCCAGTCTCTGCTCGAGGTGATCCTGAACAAGCATGCCGAGCAGATCCGGCAAGCCATGACCGTTTCCGACACCCTGACTGACAGCCATGGTGTGTTCGGTACCGACTTCCCTAGTTGCCTCTTCGACAAGGTCAAGAGCAGCTATCAGAGGGAACAATTCGCGAAGAGGAACTTCTTGTACGTGGAGCCTGAAGAACACCTGCTCCTAAGCCCAGAGACTTCATCGTTCCAGTACATTCCAATTGGAAAGGTAATTGAAAACCTGTTCGAAGTTCCCGCATTGGCAGAACACCTCTTGCAGCCAGCAGAGCAGTTGAGGACCGATCCACATGAATTGCGGTCCTTTCGTGAAGGCACAGCACTGAAGCAAGTGCCAACGAATAACGATGAATCTGTGCACAACCTTCATGTTGCGTTGTACACTGATGAACTGGGGATTACGAACCCCTTGGGGCCAAATCAAAAGCGACACAAGTTGTTGGTGGTCTATTTTTCCCTACTCGACCTCCATCCAAGATACCGCGCAGACTTGAGCAACATACATTTGACACTGATGGCCAAGTACCAGGATGTCGAGAAGGAGGGACTCCAGAAAGTGTTAGACCCCCTTCTCCGTGACCTGGCTGAACTGAGGGACCACGGTTTTCAAGTTCAAAGCAGCAAAGGAAGTACAAGGGTCAAGGCCACAGTTGCTGCCATTTGTGGCGATAATTTGTCCCTCAACAAGCTTGGAGGATTCTCCTGTTGTTTCAGCAGTGGCAGAGTGTGCAGATTCTGCATGGCCCACAAAGCCACGCTTGCAGACCTCACGAGGGAAGACCTGTGCACATTAAGAAATGCTGCCACACACAGCAAACACCTGTCAGCAATTTCTGTGAATCCAGCATTGAAGAAGCTGTACGGTGTCAATGGACCCTCGCCAATGCTGGCATTGGAGAACTTTGACATCACCAAGCAACTCATGCCAGATGTTATGCACGACATGTTTGAGGGAGGATTTGCCGTTGTCTTGCACTACACTCTTCAGGGACTCACTTCAGATGGCATCCTGACACTGTCAGACTTTGGCAAAGTGGCAACATTTAAGGTCGGCTTCAACGATAAAAAAAATAGGCCCGAAGAACTGCAAGCTAACTTCTCCAGGGACCACCGTGCCTTAAAAGGCACCGCTTCCCAAAAGTGGTGTCTGTTCAGGCTGCTGCCATTGATGGTTGCATCCTGCATCCCGGAGGGAAACTCACACTGGGAGGTTTACTTGATGTACCGAGAAATTGTGGACATGGTGCTTGCTCCCATCATACCCACTGACATCCTGCCGTATCTTGAAGATAGGATTCAGGCTTTTCTGCGAACCTTCAGCGAGCTGTACACATCAGCTAGTGTCTCTCCCAAGCTGCACTACCTTATACATTACCCTCGAATCATAGAAAGGTATGGCCCTCTACAGCAATACTGGTGCATGCGGTTTGAGGCCAAACACCAGTATTTCAAGAGCATGGCATCGAAAAACAAGAACTTTGTGAACATCGGCAAGTCCCTATCCACACGGCATCAGCTTCTGCAGAGCTACGAGCTCCACATGTATGTTCTTGACAAGAATGTCTGCGCCACCGGCCTCAAAGCCATAGCTCCCGCTGAGCTAAATCCCTGCGCGCGGAGCCTTGCGTCTGATGGCCAGGTATGGGAGGCAAGGTCTGTCAAGACAAGCACAGGAGGCTATCGGAAGAAGGATGTTCTTGTAATGAACAGAACAACGTCCCTCAGCTTTGCTGAGGTTAGTGCACTCTACCTCAAGAATGGTAAAGTGTTTCTCCTCCTCAACGAGCTGGAAGTAGAAATGTACCGCAGGCACAGGTGCTGTTACAAAGTGCGGAGGACCGAGAACTTCTACCTCTCCCAAACTGGCAAGGAAGCCTGTTTCCAACGTTTAGATTTGTACACGGGAGGAGAGATCGTGCCAAAGTGGGACCTCTTCTATTACCCTTAAAGGAACAATGAACAAGATTTTAGAAATTTTCAATGAAGAGTGCTTTCCGAATGTTTGGGGTCCCAGCATGCCATTAAATTTTTTTAGAGAACGCTGCGACATTTATTGCTCTACCTGCGAACAAATTTACGAAACTGAAACTAAGTTTCTGCGCTTTTGCTAGGCGATCCTCCGAAACCAGAAGTGACGGCACATGGGAAGTCAGTCTACATCAGTTTTATTAGTACCACGGTCCTTGCTAGTATTTATTACACACTGTTTTGGTTGCCACGGTGAGTTTTACACTGATCAAAGCGCGAAGCACATACACATTGTGCTCCGTTTCAGAAGTTGTGTGCGGCGCAGGAGAAGGCTAAGGGGCGTAAACAGGCAACCTTGTTTGGATCAACAGGTCCAACAAAAAACAAAAAATATGCACTTCTGTACTTAACCGATCGGTTACATGTGAAAACAGATTAGATTAATTTATTCTGTATGCACTTCCGCTGGATTCTGTGGTCTCGCTAGGCTTGAACGACTAAAGCCAGAGCGAGCTGCTTTCCAAAATGGAGCAGAGTCTGTAATGGTGGCCACCAACACAGTGGCATCCTCGCGAGTGAGAATTAGAACAGGACAATGTTTCAATTCTACCAGAGGTGCATGCCACAAACTATTTTGAACACCCAGTACATGAATACAAAAATGCTCCAAAAGCCGATGATAAAAAGCTTTACTCAGGCATAACATACAAAGGTAACAAAAACAGACGTTTTGCTACCTATGCAGGTGGCATCCTTAGTATACACTAACACAAATGAAGCGAGGTCAATCAGCTTCTACTTATCACACACATCCCTGAAAACATCTGTGGGGGGGAGACGGTATTGCACACCGATGAGTTAGAACGAATGAACCAGGATTCGAGATATTTTCTTTGACCCCATCATTGTTCTCGGGCCAGCATCGTTGCACTGTCCAAGTCAAATGTGTGTCCCGTCATCCAACAGTGTTTGACACGTTCTGTCTTTGATCGCATGGCATGTGTGGCATTGGCAACATCCCTTTTGTGTTCTTTTATTCTCGTGGCCCTCTTTCTGTCTGTTTCGCCAATGTAAGTAGCGTCACAATCTGTCTGCAGGGGTACGGCCCTTTGGCTTCGTGGACAGATTCGCCAAAAGGTAATGCGGTTTAAAAACTGTTCATGTACCCAAAGGACACAAAGCTACTTCTAATGGCGTCTGACATGCCCTGGACATGTGGAATTGACGAAACCTGTGTTGGCCTCGCCTGTGAATCACTCCTTCTACCCATCTGAATCCACCTCCTCATATCTTTAATGAATGCCCTGCAAGAATGGCGTTTTTCTGAAGTATCAGCTACATTCTCTAGTTCTTGGAAACCCTAGCTGTTCGTTAGAGTACATTGCATCGCAATGTGATAATAATGTTCTTACAGCACACCGTTTGTGTTCGGTCGGGTGGTGTGAATCAAAGGACAAAAAGGTCCCTGTGTCACACGGCTTACGGTACACTGCCGTTCCACACTCCCAGTACTGCCCCGGCGCACAAGTACGTCCAAAAAAAGGCAAAACATTATCTTTCCCTGTCTCATACATCAACCGAATGCAGTGTTGTTTGTGAGTTACCTGCCGACAAAGGGGTTTGTGTTTACGCTTTGGAGAGCGCAGCAGTCAGAAAGAAAATGGCAAATGGTTAATTTATACTTGGTTTACACGAGTTGAACCGATTAACCAGTTAAAAAACATTGACCATGACTGTAGGGATGCCCCAAATTGCCCCCTCGTTTAGACATGACAGCTCGTCAAGTCTACCCGACTTGAAATATCCATGAAGGGCAGCCGAACGGCTCATCCCTTTCTTTTGTCGGCCCTGTCCAAGGGGATTTACGGGAACGGGCTGACATGCCCGCGTGGGAAACGAGCAGAGTAGCCGTTCCCAGAGCTGGGTTGGAGGCATCTTCATGGATCAGGGGGCAGAAAGGGTGGTAGAGAGATCTCGGCAGCTCCTATTGTATGCCAGGAGAGGGTGCTGGCACTGGGGCCAATAGGAGTGTTTAATGTCCCTGATTGGACAGGCCCAGTGTCAGCAAGCTGGTTTTGAGGTCCTGCCAAACCGGGACGAGCTGAATTTAAACGAATCCGCGGATCACTACATTTGTCTCCCGCGGTTTGACGGCCACATAAGTTTGTCGTGCGTGACAAAGGAGCTTGCCCGCACCGTGCACGGTTGGGCACTTGGCGCATCATCGTTGACGGAGGCTGTCGCGAGCGACAGTACGCCAAAGTGCAATGTTTTCTTGCTTTGTTTTGTAAAAAGTTGTCCGTCATCTGTAAATATATACATATTTACTCAACCGCCGAGCCTGAGCAACACTGAGGTCACCGAAAACAAGCCGTCCTCCAGCCATCACAGCACCCCATAATCGACCGGTTTTGATCGAGACTCCAAGGGAGACGGCCACCGACCGAGGAAAACAACCCTCTTCAGGGGACAATGAAACCTTACAGGGTCAGTCGACAGGAATCGTGGACGTCGTCGGCCGCTTGGACAACATTGTGTGCCAGAGAGACGATGACGACAGTGCCTGTGCGGAGCGGGGGGGGAGGGGGGCTTCGGCGACAAGTGCTCAAGACGACTAGGACAACAGCTTTCAGCTGATCCAGCAGTACTGGCTCGGCGAGACTCATCAACGGGGTACCGGGGTACTCTCAAGAAGCCAGCCTCAAGAAGACTTCGTCAACACCCGAAGCCTGCATCGACAGAAACCGGGACTCAGGGGAACGGACTCCCCGTGCGGTGATTGACACCGGGGACCCGCGAGTTGGTGACGTCAACAACCTTTATAGACTTCACAGCACCGCCAGGTCAGTGATCTCCTTTCGTTCCATCCCCGGCTGATACCCATGCTCTTAGGCGCATGGCGAAACATAACTTGCGGTGTGGGGCAGGCCCTTGTGAAACAGGCGACAAGGGGTCGGGTGGGGAAGCGGTTCCGCTGAGCGTTCAGTTAGTCCTTGTGAGGAAAAAAACGAAGGAGCTAGAGCTGCAGGTACGACTCGCAGAACTCCGGGCGGAGGAGCGGAGAGCAAGAGTTTGTCTCCTGGGGGAGCGCGGTGAAGAGACGCAGCTTTGCCCGAGGCCCGATGTGTGAGGGAGAAAGAACCGGACGCGCGAGGTGACCCGGAGGCAGGCTTGGGGTATGAGGCCGATCGTGTCGTTCAGAAACCGGAGACTGCCGTGGAGTCCGAGGCCGGTCGTGCTGTACAGAATGAGGAGACTGCCGTGGGGTCCCCAAAGCCGATCGCGCTCTTCAGGAACCGGACACTGTCGTAGGTTCGAGGCCGATCGTGACGTACTGGGACCGGAGACTGCCATGGGGTTCGAGGCCGATCGTGTAGTTCAAGGACTGGAGACTATCGTGGAGTCCAAGGCCGATTGGGCCGCGTGAGAATGAGGGTGTTCCTGCGTCAGGGCAGCTGGAAGGGAGGAGCTCCCGGAGAACCAGGAGTCAGGCCCAGCACTGGGGAGACTGGTGGGTTCCGAGGTCACGAGGGGGGCTACTGCAGTTGTTCAAATTGGACTTCAGTGTCGCCATGACGGGCCTTGTGCAGAGGGTGTGACATGGTGGGTGCCACCAAGTGGGCGGCGCGGGGAGGTGTCGGTGCAGGCGCACGAGTCGTTGTGGGGCAACCACTTAGGCGCTGGGAAAGAGATGGCGCGCCAGGGGCGCAAAGTTGGTTCTTCCTTCGACCAAGTTGCCGCAAAGCGAGCGCCAAACACAGTTACGTGGAAAAATCAAGCCGGGCACGCCTTTGAGGGCCTAGAGGATGCTCTGGCGAGCATCACGGTCCTCGCGACAGCCGACACAGCTGCTCGGGTGTGGTGTGCTTGCAGGGTGGCAGAAGAGCGCTTAATCGCTCTACGGCAAGGGTCTCAAACACGCGGCCCGCGGGCCGCATGTTTGAGACCCTTGCCGTAGAGACTCGCTTGGTTGCGGCCCGCAGGCAACCGGCTACGAGTCCCGGTCCCAATGTCTCGAGCGCTAGAATTGGCATTCACCATCGTGACCTCCTCTCGCCGATTCATTTTCGCTCGAAAAGTATTTACATAGTTTATACCTATTTGTGTGCATTTACCCTTTGTTTCGCTTTATATTTTGCTTCGCAGCTTTCTGTAATGTACCGAAATTCAGCTACTAGGCTGCAAGCGCAAGCTATTCGCTGAAGGAAGCATTTCGGCTGCACAAACTCTTGATCAGCAGGAGCAACTGGCAAAGATAAGCTACGAGCTCGGGATTCTCGCGTTCAAAAAGCTAACACCATTAAAAGACAAGTATTTGTTCCATTGCTGTAGTAAAAATCGTCAGGAAAACAGCAACTGTCATATTACTGATTGTTTTTAGAGACACCTTGAGCTTGGTCAATTCCTGGGTGAATTGAGCAACGGGAACGACAGTGTACTTGTTCAATTAAAAATGCCAGCACGTTGGCGGAGCGGTGTCATTTTTATTATCACATCACGTCAAGGGCCAAAGCCAAGGTAGTCTTATAAAAAATCAAATCTAAAGTTGTCACTGGCAAGACTTTGAGTTTACAAAAAGCATAAAGCACAAGGTCTACCCTTACTCCCCCCGCGTTTCACGTTGGCCCTCGTCATTTGAGGTGCTCAATGTCTGGCCCCCACACTCAAATGAGTTTGAGATCACTGCTCTACGGGAATGGTGTCAGCCGTGGGCGACTTGGGAGGCGATCACTGTCGCGGTTATTTTGAGCAATCGAACGTTCCAGCGTTGTTCAGTGTTCACCATGCGTTTTCAGTTTTCCTTGAATGCTGGTTTGCCGTGCTTCGTTACGTCTTTTTCGGTCTTTTGTTTGCGGAAGCTCTTGCGGCACCGATGGTGTCATTGTTGCGAGCGATCCAGGTCCTCGGGAGGCCAGCTGAGAAACAAAGTATAGTTTCCTTTTTTTTTTTCCTCGTTTTTATTTCGCAATTTGTGCTGGG